AGAAATATATAATGATAAGGAGAATAAAAACTATAAACATGCTTATGTTTCATCACACATATTTCCAAATTATAAACACAGTACAGGTGTTTTAGTAGATGAAAATTCAACAAGCTAGAAGACATTCCTTTGTTTTTTTTTTGACAGGCGGAGTTAGTGAGAGAGAGAGAGACAGAGAGAAAGGTCTTTCTTTTTCCGTTGGTTCACCCCCCAAATGGTTGGTACGGCCTGCGCGCTGCGCCGATCTGAAGCCAGAAGCCAGGTGCTTCTCCTGGTCTCCCATGTGGGTGCAGGGCCCAAGCACTTGGGCCATCCTCCACTGCCTTCCCAGGCCACAGCAGAGAGCTGGACTGGAAGAGGAGCAAATGGGACAGAATTCGGCGCCCAACCGGGACTAGAACCCAGGGTACCAGTGCCGCAGGCAGAGGGTTAGCATAGTGAGCCGCGGCACTGGCCATTCCTTTTCTTTTAAAGACATAGCTGCATCATTTTAAATATATGCCCAACTAATTTTTACTTAGATTTCTAGAAAATGAGTTACAAACAAAACAATACAATATAGTTTCATTATCCTAAAAGAGTTTTTTGCCTTTTAAAAAGAGTTCATTTATTGATGTGAAACAAAATGAACTTTTTAATTTATTTGCTGATTTTCTAATTCACTTATTATATTTTCTTAAATCAAAGAAGCCTTTTAAAAGTTACATGATATCCTTTAGGCTGGCGCCGCAGCTCACTAGGCTAATCCTCCGCCTTGTGGCGCCGGCACACTGGGTTCTAGTCCTGGTCAGGGCGCTGGATTCTGTCCCGGTTGCCCCTCTTCCAGGCCAGCTCTCTGCTGTGGCCAGGGAGTGCAGTGGAGGATGGCCCAAGTCCTTGCGCCCTGCACCCCATGGGAGACCAGGAGAAGTACCTGGCTCCTGCCATTGGATCAGCCGCGGCGGCCATTGGAGGGTGAACCAACGGCAAAGGGAGACCTTTCTCTCTGTCTCTCTCACTGTCCACTCTGCCTGTCAAAAAAAAAAGTCAAGAAGTCAAGCCAGAACTTGAACCTAGGCATTTTTTTGATGGCTTCAGCACCTAGCTCATAAAGACTTTTTCCCCTTGATGATCAGCCTAACCTCATGATACTTCAACTTCTTTAATACTAGCACTTCACATCTACCTCTAATTTGTTGTAGCCCTTTTCTTACCACCATCCCCTTTTACTTTGCAATATACAACATTTACCTTGAATTTTCTTGCCCTATGACTTTCATGGTCTTGACACCCCCCCCTTTCCAGCCCGGCAGCACCAATCCAATTTTATAGTGCACTTCACCCTCAAGGTTATCTGAGAATGCTACTTTGCATTTGTCTTAGGATCATTTATATCCTAAGTCATTTTTTTTGTAAGATTTATTTTACTTTAAAGAAGAGTTACATAGAGGGCGGGACAGAGAGAGGTCTTCCATCCACTGATTCACTCCCCAAATGGCCACAATGGCCAGAGCTGGGCCAGACCAAAGCTAGAAGCCAGGAGCTGCTTCTGGACCTCCTATATGGATGCAGGGGTCCAAGCACTTGAGCCATCTTCCACTGCTTTCCCAGAACATTAGCAGGGAGCTGGATCTAAAGTGGAACAGACAGGAATTGAACCAGCCCCCATATGGGTTGCTTGCATTGCAGGTGGTGGCTTTACCTATCACACCACAACGCCAGCCCCTGTTTTTCATTTTAACACCCTTCTGTGACTTCTTTTGTGTGTCTGACAATTTTAATCACTCATTTTTTAAACTCTTCTGTGAAGCTATTACCACCATTTTTCTTCCTTCAATTCTTCTTGCCCCTTTATAAATCCCTTTCTTGGTACCTTAGCTACTCTCAGAATTTTATCTTATCTTTTAACTATAAATCCTCCAGTTCCAATGCTGAATTTCCTAAGATCCAATTCATCATTTCTAACTATTTGATATTTTCACCTTTGACTCAGTGACATCTGTAAAGAAAAAAATGTAGTCAAACATTGTCTAGGATTCAAACCACTTTCACCCCAATATCCTTTAAGCTCAGGCTGTCTCAGGGTACTATTTGCATGAACATGGGATACCAGCTGGAAATAATCCAGTCCCAAGTTTGTGAAGCCCATGGAGTTCTCTTGATCTGCCACATGTATCATGGCTTCCTGAGAACCCACTTTCTGCAGTTTTCCATTCTGCCTCCCCACTACTACAGTGATTCTGCACCCATACCGTGGTTGTTCCAAACCAGGGCCCAGCCATCCTTTCCCTCAATGTACTGCTGGAAGCAATATTGGTCTCTTACTCTGTGCCAAACACATGACTATCCTAATGGGGTTTAAATTCTGTCCTTAATTTATAAGGAATTAAATTCGAAAATATTTTTTTGTTGTAAACACACATGTCTTTCTGTCCTCTCCTGTCCCATTTTCTGTAGGTTCCCCAAACGTCTTACAGGATGACCTTCAGCCTCATTCTACCCTCAAACATTCCCCAGTTAGCTCCAAGCTCCCTTCACATACTTAAGTCTAATAGCCAGTGAGCCCCAACCCTGTGCTGTCACCACATACATTGAGTTCCTATTCATCATTAGCATCAGATAGAACTGAAATCATCCACTTCTACTCTAAAGGTCTTGTAGTTCTCTTTGCTTTTCTCCTAATTCAGTGGTGCTTTATTTGTCTCATTGCCTCAGGCACCTGCCCCTGAATAATGTACACTACTCGTTGTATACTTTTTGTCACAGGCTTGAGCTGTATATGCACCAAAGACTTATTTTCTCAGAGATTGAGAGTACCTTTATTCCCAACCTATGATAACTCTGTTGGCCAGAAGATAGACCCCCAGAATTCATTAATCTTCCCCAAAGTATAGTTTTTCCATAGTCACTATCTAAGGTAGCTTCTCCAGGGCAGGCATTTAACACAGCAATTAAGTGACTGCTTGGGATGCCCACATTCCCATAAACAAGGTTAGATTCAAGTTGCAGCACCTCTTCTGATTACAGTTTCCTGCTCAGGTATACCCTGGGAGGCAGCAAGGTAGCTCAGGTAGTTGGGTCTCTGCCATCCATGTGGGAGACCCAGATGGAGTTCTAAGCTCCTACCTCAGCCTGGCCAGCCCTGGCTGTTGCAGGCATTTGGGGAGTGAACCAGTGGATGCAAGATGTCTCTTTTAGGCTGTTTTCCTCTCCTCTCTGCTCTCCTCTCCTCTGTTCTGCTCTCCCCTCCCCTTTCAAATAATTTAAAGCAGTTATAAGTAAAAGTATCAGTTTAAAAAATAATGGGATTTTTAAAAATAAAGTGGCTTTTCCTTCTTCTTGCTGATTCCCCAGAATATGCCACTCCTTCCCTCTCAGTTCACCTTCGTCCAAAAGTTTCTGGTAACTATGGTCACTTATAGAGATCATTCCTTTGTTGGAGTTCTGTACTATCCAGCTATTCTACTTCACATGTGCCTGCACTATCTCCTTGAAAGAGTAGCTCCTTTTTTTTCACCATGGCACCTATTCTGAGGCTATTGTCTTGGAATTATAGCTAGCCAGAATCTTTTTCTTGTGCGTGCTGATGATGGTTTCTTGTATCTGAGGTTAACCATGTTTTGGCTAGATTGGGTCTGTCTGTAAGATAGGGTGAGTGAATATTTCTCAAACTGTAGCTTGTATAATAATGAGATGGAAAATTGGTTAAAATTGATTTCTGGGCTCCACTGCTACAGGTTTAATCAGGAAGTTTCCAGTGAGACATGAGACTTTGTATTTCTAACAAGCTCCAAGTGATGCTGATGCCACTGGCACATGGACCACACTCTTAGTAACACTTGCTAGTTTAATCTTGGCTAATCCTGTCTGGTTTTCTAACATAGGAAAGCTTTCCTTGTTAATTTAAAATTTGATATTAAAGCTATTACCATTGCCTGCACAGTTCTGCTCCCAAGCATAGGAGAAGCATTGTTCTAACTCATGAACTCCGCCTCCTTAAATTTGCTTTCTTTTTTTTTTTTTAAGATTTATTTATTTTGAAAGTCAGAGTTAGAGAGGAGAGGCAGAGAGAGAGAGAGAGAGAGAGATTGAGGTCTCCCATCCTTTGGTTCACTCCCCAATTGGCCACAACAGCCGGAGCTGCACCAATCCGAAGGCAGGAGCCCCAGGAGCTTCTTCTGGGTCTCCCATGCAGGTGCAGGACCAAAGGACTTGGGCCATCTTCCACTGCTTTCCCAGGCCACAACAGAGAAGCTGGATCGGAAGTGGAGCACTCAGGTCTTGAACCGGAGCCCACATGGGGTGGCGGCTTTACCCGCTACGCCACAGTGCTGGCCCCTAAACTTGCTTTCTTTAAAAGTTGCCTGGCTGGCGCCGCAGCTCAATAGGCTAATCCTCCGCCTGCGGCGCCGGCACCCCAGGTTCTAGTCCCTGTTGGGATGCTGGATTCTGTCCCAGTTGCTCCTCTTCCAGTCCAGCTCTCTGCTGTGGCCCTGGAGTACAGTGGAGGATGGCCCAAGTCCTTGGGCCCTGAACCCACGTGGGAGACCAGGAGAAGCACCTGGCTCCTGGCTTCGGATCAGCATGGTGCGCCGGCCGCAGTGGCCATTGGGGGGTGAACCAACGGAAAAGGAAGACCTTTCTCTCTGTCTCTCTCACTGTCCACTCTGCCTGTCAAAAAAAAAAGTTTTCCTAGTAACTGAAAAGGGCTCTTTAAACATTTGATTTTCTGATGTTTAGCAATACCATTTAGCTCAAGTAGCATTTACATCTAGAATCAGATTATCTCCCTTTCCAAGCATGTTAAGATTAGAAAGTAACAAATGAGTACCATTCATAAAGATTCCTATTTCAAAATACATTATTAGCAAATGGCTTTTAAATTGTTTTTACTCTTAATAACTGGAAAAGTTTTATTTGATTATCTACGTTTTTAACTCTTTGGAGTGTTCTTTTTTTTTATATAGTGGTTGAGGTACTGATCATCTAAGAATATTCTCAGGGAAATAAGTCATTAGAAAATACACTACAGGCAAAATGGAATGTAAGATAAAAATTTTGAATTAAACCAAGATGGCTGTTTTGGTCCGTTTGGGCTGCTATAGCAAAATAATAGACTGGTAAGCTTATAAACAACAGAAATTTATTTCTCACATTCTGGAAGCTGAGAAAGTGCACAATTATGGTGATAGCTGTTTTGGGTGACTGGTGAGGGTTCCTTCCTCATAAGCACTGCCTTATCACTGCATCCTCACATGGTGGAAGGGGCAGGTTATCTCTCTGGGAACTCCTTTATAAGGACACTAAGCTCTATTGAGCCAATCACTTCCCAAAGTCCACCACCTCCTAATACTATCACCTTGGGAGTTTGGATTTTAACATTAATGGGAGGGGATCACAAACATTCAGAGACCATAGCAGTGACAAACAGAATTGTATTATTAAGGTCATGATCAGTAAAACCTAGAAGTTAAGACTATTCAAACCATGTTCATAAAATTAATATGACTTATTAGACAAAACTAATAAAATATTGTTTTGTATCTCCAGCAGTCATGCCAGCTATCCAAGTAAACAGTTACGTACTCTTAAGAAGCATTCTGGAGCTTCCAGGTAACTAATTGATCTTTTTTCATTTTCTCTGTTGAAAATTGTAATACTTTAAAGCACCCCAACATTGGATTTTAAAAAGATGATACTTTTTTTAACTCATTGTCAAGCTCAATTGTGTGCATGATTTTTAAATTAACTTTATTTTAAATATCTGAGGTACTGTTTTTTCAACTTGGGTTAGTCTCAAATTTAAGTGGAAAACTGGTTGATTTCTGTGTGTGGAACTTACCATATTTGTAATTCTATGGAATAATATTTCTATTACAAAAAGTATATAAAATTTCATTACTGTTGAAATGTTCAGTCTTTAGCTATTTATTGTACACCCATCACATATAACACAATATAGCAGGTCCTGTACAGATGACAATGATGAAGAAGGCTTGGTACCAACATACAAGAAATGTACAATTAGAGAGATGTGGTATGAACACAAATAACTACACTAATACAAGGAGGTTTGTAATGAGTACAGTGAGTTTATGACTTGAAGGGAGAGAAAGGTTTCTGCTTATGAGAAGAGGCATAGCATTCCAATTTGAAGAAATAGCGTGAATGAAAGAATAGAAAGGAAGAGGCACCAAGCATATGCATTCTTGTGAATAGTACAATTTGGATGAAACATGAAGTTCAAATAACATAGTATATGAGATTAGTCTGGGGGAATCATTTTAAGCTTAGATCCAGATTGTGGAATATCTTAATACCAGGAAGTTTAGACTTAATTTTAACTTGTAGGACTTTGGGGAAACCATGGATGTTTTGAATAAAATCAAGGGTATAGAAGGAACACTAATTTGGAGAAATAGACAAGGTAAATTGTAGCACATGAAGCACATAGACTGGTTAAGGCTATTATGGTAGTTAGGATGGATTTAATAATAACCTGGGTTAGGGTGTTGAGGTGATATTATATCACATTGAAGAACATGGACTCTGGGAAAATAATTATTGAACCTGCGTGTGGATTTCCATAAAAGATAAGAACATTTTTCTGATTATTTTATCTTCTCTTTTTTTCCCATAGGGGCATTACTCTAGTGTGCCTTAAATGTGATTTCCTAACTAATTCTTCCAGCTTAGATCAAATGGCTAAACACTTAAATCGGCGTAGAACTCATACTTGCCAAGTTATAATAGAGAATGGTATGTATATATAAGTGTAACTTTGGACTTCTGGTATTTATTTCAATATTTTCATGGGCCCTTATGTATTAAATCAAGTCTGGGTCTTCACATATACCAAAAGTGTAAAACTCTTCTTCTTATTTCAGTTACAGAAAGTACCTCAACTTCTGAACCCACTTCTCAGTAAGTTTAACTTTCACTCAATGCATTTTTAATATATCATTAATAGAAATGAGAAATATTAAAGTATTTTATTTTGTTTTTATTTTTAAAGCTGCTTGTTGAAATAGATTCCTGCTCTGTGGTGTTCGTGCAACCTGGTGCAAGACAAGTTGGAATGTCCTAAGTTCAAAGTTCTGAAGTATTTTCTTACACAAAGGCAGTTTTCTAAGTTCAAAGTGCTAAAGTGTATTCTCACCTGAAGGCTATTAAAAACTGAGTTCATAACACTAGCTCTCCTGGCTCTTTTCAGCTTTCGGATGGCTCTAGATTGATACTCCACCTTATCTCTGTCAAGTTAACATACTTAACGTGTTTTTCTTCCTCCAGTTGGCTCTCTCCAAAACTAACTTTTGTTGCTATAGTCTTTCCTTGCTTACTTAAAATAATTTGTTTTTCTCTCTTGCATTTGCCTTCAGAATATTACATTACAAACAATACCAACTGTTCATCGTTTATTGTCTTTCTTATAAGTCTTACATTTTAAGTCAGATAGCTGTTTTTCCCTCTTTGTCTGTCATTGTTCTATTTTTCATATTTTTCAGATGCAGAAGCAACACAGAAATTTCAAAAAATGTCCAGGGTACTCCTGGACAGTGTCCCCCTTCAATGGACACACCTGATGCCTGTTCTCTCTTTCCACGGAATGTGAATTATTTGACTGTGAGACCTCTAGTTCGTGGCCTTAAGAAAGTCCGCAAGGAGAGTCCCTTGCTACCTGACTGGCCTCCCATAAGGCTGATGCTGATTTGGCCAGAGATGACCTCAGAGCCCACCAAATTGAGCACAACTTCCCACTGAGGGTTTTGACACTTGATCTTAAGCATGAGAGTTGATTCTAACCAAGACAAGACCATGAAATCAGTCTTTCAACACCCAAGTTAAAGTTCAATCATTTTGGCTGCTGCCCTTTAATAATCTAGCATGCATGCAGTCTAAGGAATATAAAAATTTTGGTCCTATAAGGAAGCAAGATTGCTTTCTTATTCTCAGAAAACCAAAGTTTATAAATTTACTTTGCCAACATAAGTTATTATTGCATTTAAAGTTTTATTCAGTATTAATGCTAAGAATTTTCAGCAATACTAATATTCAGATTTGTAATTTTTGCAACTTTAATTTTGGTAGCTTTGTTTTGTGTCATTCATCAAATTTATTGATGTTCATTTCGTTATGTCTCCTTTGTACTTTTCTTTTTATGCCTTTTGTTTGTTTTGTTTCTGTTAAGAACTCCAAGACATTTCATAAAATTCTCTGCAAATTTCATGTAGTTAATACATGTAGCTTCTTAATTTGATACCTGTTCAGACCGTTTGATATTATAACATGCTCTATCTTGGGACTATCATTTCTATTTTAGGGATTATGAATTCAAAAGACAAAGAATTGGTAAAATCTTATTTCAGACTTTAAAACAAGTTTTAAAGTTACAAATATCTAATACGTAATATCTTAGCCATTAATTCTTTTGGATAAAGATAATATATTCAAAAGTATTGGGACCAAAAAATGCACTTGTTTCTTGCCTATATATATATATGTGTATTTTTTAATTTGGTATTTATTTTGGCTACATTGAATATAGATTTGCTGAACAGTTTTGATGTTACTTATTTTTTTAATAAAATTTCCATTGTTAAAATGTCTTGAATTATTTTCTAATAGTTTCATGTAAAAGGTGTCAATTGCATGACATAACTAGAAACATCACTTTGCTTCTTATATGGAAGCCTGGTTGCTTGGTCTGCAGACTGAAAGCTTTTAACTTCTTTGTCATGCACTTCTCCTTCCAGCTTTTAATGCTCACCATTTATACTTTACTAGTTTCTTTAATTTTAAAGGCTAGTAAAAGTACCCTTTGTGATCTTAATAACCACAAAGGTAGGCAGGTGCTAAATTCATTTAACTGAATCAGGAGTGGTTTTTATACTCTAAAATTAGAGCTTCCTAAATGTACTTTAAAACATACAGAAAGCCATTTTGAACGGCCACTTGTTGTTTGGGTATGCTATTTGAAATTCATCATCAGAATCTCTACAAGTGACTTTTGTAGTAATGAACCTGCTGATAATTAGTCTTTATTCCTTACCTATCTTCAGGATGTTCTGTCAATTACCATCTTTCTACTCAAGTTTTTTTTTTTACTGTAGTAAAATACATCTAACATAAATTTTGTCATTTTAACCATTTTCAAGGATGTATTTCAGGCTGGCGCCACGGCTCAGTAGGCTAATCCTCCGCCTGCGGTGCCAGCACCCCAGATTCTAGTCCCGGTTGGGGCGCTGGATTCTGTCCCGGTTGCCCCTCTTCCAGGCCAGCTCTCTGCTGTGGCCCGGGAGTGCAGTGGAGAATGGCCCAAGTCCTTGGGCCCTGCACCCGCATGGGAGACCAGAAGCTCCTGACTTCACATCAGCATGGTGCACCGGCTGCAAAAAAACACGGCGGCCATTGGAGGGTGAACCAACGGAAAAGGAAGACCTTTGTCTCTCTCTCTCTCTCTCTCTCTCTCACTCTCTCACTCTCTCACTGTCCACTCTGCCTGTCAAAAAAAATGTATTTCAGCAGTGTTAATAGCACTGGTTTTTTTTTTTAAAGATTTATTTATTTGAAAGACAGAGTTAGAGGTAGAAGCAGAGAAAGAGGTCTTCCATCCACTGGTTCACTCCCCAGATGGCCACAATGGCCAGAGCTGTGCCAATCCAAAGCCAGGAGCTAGGAGCTTCTTCCAGGTCTCCCACGTGGGTGCAGGGGCCCAAGGACTTGGGCCATCCTCCTCTGCTATCCCAGGCCTTAGAGAGCTGGATTGGCAGAGGAGCAGCCAGGACTAGAACCGGTGCCCATTTGGGATGCTGGCGCTTCAGGCCAGTGCTTTAACCCGCTGTGCCACAGCGCCAGCCCAATAGCACTGATTTTTTTTTTTTAATTTTAAACTTTTACCCAGGAATGACTTCTTAATATTTTTATTGTAATTTTTCTTTTTAACTGTGAATACTTTAACTCTGTTCAAAAATATGAAAAACCACATTTTTGCTATGGCAAAAAAAATTACAGGTAAGGGTGCAGTATTGTAGTTTTCCGTGGAATTTTACTGTAGTAAATTGTAGTAAAAGGTTATTCTTAAAGTTTTATGTCCTATAACATCTTTTATAGAAAATATTTCAAGTAGTTAATACTAAGCTTGCCTTTTTATAGGCAATTGATTGAGGGGATTTTTTAAAACTAATTTTTCCCTGCTAGGATATACTTGATTTTATTTTATTTTTTGGTTTGATTTTTTTAATTTTTATTTTTCGTTTTATTTGAAAGAAGGAGAGAAAAATCTTCCATCCACTGGTTCATTCATCAGATGCCCACAACTGTCTGGTTTGGGCCAGCCAGGTGGAATCCAGGAGCCCAAAATGCAATCCAGGTCTCCCACTAGGTGGCAGGAACTCAAGTACTTGAGCCATTACCTGCTGCTTCTCAGGATGTGTGTCAGCAAGGAGCTATTGGACTGGAAGCAGAGTCACCAGGACAGGAACCAGGCACCCTTGATGTAGGATGTGGGCAATCTCAAGCAGCCGCATAAGCCCCTGTGTGCGACCCTATCTTTATTTTTATTTTTATTTGAGAAAGAAGAGCTCCCGTCTTCTGGTTCACTCCCCAATTGCTCACAACAGGGAATAGGCTGGGCCAGAGCCAGGAATTCAATCCAGGTCTCCCATGAGGGTAGCAGAAACCAAATTACTTGAGCCATCACTTGCTGCCTCCCAGGATCTGCACTGACAGGAAATGAGTCAGGAGCCATAGCCAGGAATGAAACCCAGATACTCAGCGATGGGATGCAGGTACTATAACTGGTGCCTTAACTGCTAGACGAACTGCCTACTCCTAGTTGAGTTTTAGTTGGTGCTAATAAGTTTTAGCTTGACACTGATCCCTCTTTACCTTCAGATTATTCTAAATAGCTCTTTCATCTGATTCCAGAATACCCATCTCGTGCATCATGCTTTTTGTTTCAGCTGAATGGAAAGTATAATTGGCTCAGTTTCTATCACCATTCTTAGAAAAATAACCACGAACTATACAGACTTGGTTTCTTGTCCTTTTTGTCACATTTTGACAAAACATCCCTTTAGGCCTCATTTATTCAGCAAGTATTGATCACCTATGTATCTGGCATTGTTCTTAGTGCTAAAATCTCTACCTTTGTGGAGCTTATATTCAAAGGTTGGAGGTAGACAATAGGAAATAAAATTTTATAGTATGTTAGATGGTGATCAATAATATGGAGAAAATTTAAGTGGGTAAGGGGATAGTGTGTACAAACTAAATACTAGGATGTTGTCATTTTAAAGTTGATAGTTTTGAAAAGGTGGCGTTTGAGTAAAAATCTAAAGGAGGTGAGGAAGTGAGCCACTTGGTTATCTACCAAACATTCTAGAAGGAACAAATGCAAAAACCCTGAAGCAGAAATTGGAACCTTCATATATTGCTTTTGCAATTTTAAAATGGTTCAGCCACTGGGGAAAACTGCATGATAATGCCTCAAAGTTAAATATAGAATTACCATATAACCCAGCAATTCCACTGGCAGATTATACTTCCAAAAGTATTCAAAGACTCAATACTTGTACGTACATTTTTTTTTTTTTTGACAGAGTTAAAGACAAAGGTCTTCCGTTAGTTCACCCCCCAAACGGCTGCTACTGCTGGAACTACGCCAATCCAAAGTCAGGAGCCAGGTGCTTCTTCCTGGTCTCCCATGTGGGTGCAGGCGCCCAAGCACTTGGGCCATCCTCCACTGCCTTCCCGGGCCACAGCAGAGAGCTGGACTGGAAGAGGAGCAACCGGGACTAGAACCTGGCGCTCATATGGGATGCTGGCATCACAGGCAGAGGAGTAACCAAGTGAGCCATGGCACCAGCCCCATGTACATACATCTTTATAGCAACACTATTCACAATAACCGAAAGATGGAAATAGCCCAAATGTCATTAGTAGATGAAGGATAGTCTATCCATACAATGGAATATTATATAGCCATAAGAAGGGAGTGAAGTACTGATAGATGCTACAGCATGTATGGACCTCTTAAACATGCTAAGTGGAAGAAAATCTCAAAAGTTCACATAGTATGATTACACTTACGTGAAATAGAATAAGCAAATCCATAGAGAGATAAGGCGGATTAGTTGTTTTTGTGGGTTGTGTAGAGAAGAGAATGGGGAGTAACTGCTTAATGGGTGGGGTTTTGTTTGAGGGTAATAAAAATGTTTTGGAATTGAACTAAAATGGTTGTATAACATTCAGAATATACTAACTGCCACTGAGTTGTTCACTTTAAGGTGATTAATAATTTTATGATATGTAATTCTCACATCACTTTTTAAAAAACATTAGGAGTTATGAAGGAAATCTCAATTTAAAAAAATCCACAGCTACCATCATAATGGTGGGAGGAAAACAGCCTTGAAGTAGGCTTATGCCTGGATCAAGGAACAGCAACAAGACTGATGATGCTGCAAGTGGAGTTGGGGAGGGGGTGAAACATAGGAGATGGGCCTAAGAAGTCCTGTGGACCATGTACAACAGAGCTTTATAGGCAACTATACGGATTTCTATAAGGGTAGTAATAGTCTGGAAAGTGACCCAATTGGGTATATTTTGAAGGTTGAGCCATTAGAATTTGTAGGTTGTTTGGATGTGTCAGTTCAGAGAAAGGAAGCATAGAGAACAGCGCAGTTACCTGGGCAACTGAGAAGATAGTGTGACTTAACTGAGATGGAAAAGGCTGAATGAGGAACAATTTGGAAAAGATGGGGACTTGATTTGGGACATGTTTGAATTTGAGATGCCTATAAGGTATCCAAATGGGGATAAAAGAATCATTCAGACATACAAGTCTAGAGTTTTGGAGAGAGTTCCACGCTGTCAGTAACGTTTTGTATTTAGAAGTCGCAAGATTCAGAGTGGGATGTGGCACAGCAGGTTAAGCCATTGTTTGGGATGCTGCATCCCATATCCAACTTCCTAAGGGTGCATACTGGGATGCAGCAAAGTGCAGCTCAAGTGCTTGAGCCCCTGATACCCATGTGGAGACCTGAATGCAATTTAAGAGATTCTGATTTCAGCCTAGCCCAGCCTTGGCTATTGTAGTTGTCGCATTTGGAAAATAAATCGGTGAATGGAAGATTCTCATTCATTGTTTCCCTCCCTCCCTCCCCCACCCCCGCTCTCGTAAATGAAAATAAAAAGACAAATTCCATAAACAGTTCTAGGAAGTTCCAACCATAAGAGGTTAGGGAGATAAGGAATCAGCAGTAGAGACTGAGGCATAGCCTGTGATGTGCAAGGAACACCAAGAAATTGGCTGTGTCCCTGAAACCTCGAGTACTCTATTTGTAAAAAGTAGTTGCTAGTTTGTTCTAGGGTTCTTGAATTCAGTGATTCTATTTTGGTTAAACCTGAACATCACTTATAATTTGTTCTTAGGAGAACGTGAACAGAATGGTAATCACTTCACAATGTATATTTATGTCAAAACATCACGTTTACACCCTAAATATTCATTTGTATTTATTTATTAAACCACAGTAAGGCTGCAGAAAAAAAGAACAGCATCACATA